GTCAAGGATTGCCTTTTTTCACTTAGTAAATTCTCTTGGCGTTGTAGCATCTCTTGCCAGATACACATATAGCAGCGCAGTCACAGCCAACACTGAAATGAAGAGAGATCCATGTGAGATGATTTTTATAGTAATAAGTCAAGGCATTGGTGACAAAAAATAATGCTTTACCAACCGCCACAATTTTAGCCTACAAGCAATCATATGCTTCTACTGGTATAACATTATTATTATTATTATTATTATTATTATTATTATTATTATTATTATTATTATTATTTACTGACAAAATAGCACATTCATGCAGGTTGTATAATGCTTAGAACAATATTCTTATTTTTTACCTTTAATTGTTTTGCTGTTACTTACCTGCATTTGTAGCCTTTTCCGCACTTCACGCCCTTACATGGAGATGGCTTGCAAATAGGTCCATTGTCAAGGGAATTCTCTGGAAAGTACAGAAAGTATTTTAACCAAATGAGCACAAACGCCATTCCTGGGCGTCAATCCTATTACTCCCCATCCAACTTATGTCCTGTGTATCTTTGCTTCGTTTTAAATGATCTAATTTTGGGGGAAAGAGTTACAGGGATTACCTCCCCACCTCCTCCCGAAGGAACCCCAGCAGAGCAACAGGCAGACACCATTTACCAGGACTTTACAGACAGCCACTGTGTAACGAACTGGAGCCGGGCGAGTGGACAGTTTCTTCACTCGTCAGAAGCGTCTAGCTTGCGCGCGTGCGCGTGTGTATGCATGAGAGCATGCACGATGCTTAGTTTGTTTGTTTGTTTGTTTGTATGTTTGAAATCAGACACGCATCTATCAACATCGGAAAAAACAACTGACATGTTATATTCAGCCACGTACAATGGCGTGGTTCCATCTATATATATACTTTTGGAGGACATTTGCGACAGACGACTGTGACAAAAATTAAGCAAAACCCGTATTTTTAACATAAATGCGCGCCGAAAATGAAGTAGCTACCAGTAGGTTTGTAAGCTTGGGCTCCAACCTTTTCTACGAATCTTTATCTTTTTAAGGTAAAAATATAAAATTAAAAGGGAATTTTTCCAACAATTTGAAAGTCTGTGAGACCATATTACTAACAATCTCCATTTGTACCAAGACTATACGCTTTTGTCATTTGGAATATTGTCGAATAAATCCGGAATAATGATTATGTGAAATGAATCAATTAATCGAAATAATTACAATTTTTAACCAATATGGGTCATTTTTTCTTATTCATAGTCATTAATTTATAAATGGTAACAATGATAAAAACAAATGAGAAATGATACAAAAAGAAAAAAATACATGCATAAATAGAGACGGATATCTACAGTATATCTTATTAAACATTATTAAGGCGGATTTCCGATATTATCTTACTGATAAACTAATTAAAATAACTAATTAAAATGGTGAATTTAATTCTACTTATTGTTTTACCTCTTTTTGATAAAGTATGTTATGAAAGGTGTGTACACTAGTTATACTTACGGATGAGGCCATTGGGGCAGGTCACACATGGATTGTGAGTTCCATGAACGAATCCCAGCACAGCCAGCAGACAGAAAGCCAAAACCAAGACTTTAAAGGTACCCATTGTTAACGTACGTGAGTAAGTCAAGAGGACGTTGCAGAAAGTTGTCTCGCTCTTCACAGACGTCAAGCCTATGCCTATTTATCTACATTGCCTTATTTATATACATGCACTTACAATGAGTTGGTCTTTTTATAAAAAAAAAAGTATGCACCGCCTTGTCACAATTGTTCAATCGTTGACAAATTTTGTTTTCTTGCAAAACATGACGTGAACAGTGCAATATTGCCTGTGCCGTCATATTACAAGTTGGTACCTCACGCTGACTTATTCCTTTGTTTTGAAGTGATACGCTCACGCTTTGATGTGATGCATGCGAGAATCCCTGTTCACTTTTTTTTTAAATAATTAAACCAGGACGTATGAAACGTTTTATTCGCCCAAGAATTAAGCAAAAGGATCGCCTTTATAATAAAACTTTTTAAGCGGTTTCATAAGCCTGCTAGTTGATTACGCGGTTATGGTAACTAAATATCTTCTACACACTGTACCAAGTTGTGAATGCAGCACATATAGGACGTTGTGAAAAAAAAATGCACTTTAAACGGCAACTCCATTGGATTTTCCCGCCAAAAAGGATTTTCCCGGGAAAAATAAGCAATTTAATTTTCTTGTACTCACGAATCATTTATATCTACCCCACTCTGCACTTGAATTCGACCATTAAATCAAGTTATAAAGGTTGATTTTGTTTGAAATGACTGACCAGTCATTATAACCAGTGACTATCTTCTTATATGCTCCTATGTAAATCAAGTACGCTACAGAAATAATTAAGGGGTTAAAGCGTTTTAGGATGTATGCAAGTTTTTTAAGCAGCTGTCGATGGCAAAAAATCATTTGGGGAATTTTTAAACCCACCATTAAAAACTGCTATGGTAATACTAGTGCATGTTGGTTGAGGGGCCTATACTATGCCAAGTTTCTTAAATTATCCTGTACATTTCGAAGGGAATGTCACCGCCATCAAGTACTTTAATCTAAAGGTTTTTTTCGGGGGTTTTTTTCGTCTGAAGTGGGCAAGATAAGGTCTAATGATTGAGTAGGTTTGCAGGATATGTAGACATAGTACGTTTTCACACGCGTATAGTAAATCTATAAAAGAACTGAATGTTTACAAATCGTTCAGCATCTTTAAAGAAAACGTCTCTGAAGTATCATTTTTAGAAAATGATTGAAAGTAAAAAAAGCCCCTTTATTTTAGCGTGATTGATGTCAACAAGCGGTGCTTGGTGTTATCTTTTTTTTATAATTTCTGTCCATTCATACCTGTCATGTGAAACAGCTGTGCTTTTGTTTGAACATGATCGCACTGGCATTCACAAGAAAAGTGTTCGCTGTGAGAAGTCATTGTTGATTTCATGAGTACCCAACATTTGCATGCAATACAGACAATGTTTTCGAGTGCTAAACAGCAATTCACTGTTGTTTTCAATATGAGATGAAATGCGCATACCTTTTGATTACTTGAAAGATGGATTAACTGGTACGTAAATATGCAGGTTTTGTAAGAATGGTCTTTTTGTTGGTGTAGTACGTAGATTGAATAACGTTGTATGATCTCTGATAAAATGTAATCCTTTGTGTGAACGTGCATAGAATTAATTCAACATAAAGACATTTTAAGTCCGTATTTTGACAGGAGAAATTATTTATTGACCAGCAAACTGAAAATACTCGGCCTCATTTACTTACTGTGCGTCTCTGTGAAGAACGTGTTTTGGACACCAATCTAACTGATATTTGAAAAAAAAACGGTAAAATATACAGAGAGCATGCAACCTTTCCTTGGTCATTCTTCTAGCCTTCTCCCCCTCCCCATCCCCCAACGATCTCATATAGATGTTCCTGTCACTTCCATAAGACAGGTCCGCTCCCCCAAAGAAATGTCTCTATTTATTTCTACTTCAGTACTGCTGTGCAAAATATATCAGTTATCGCTAGCAGTCATTGCAGTGTTTTCATCGTGGAAGGTCTTATTGCCGAAAACTTACCTTATACTCCCTTTACACTGGACGGCGTCCTTTCTGCGTACTTTCTGCGACCATGAAATTTGGCATAGCTGTGGTCTTAAAAAGGAGGCACGAGCATTGATTTGGTATCAGAATGAATGCTCAATGATCGGCCAGTTGTCGGCACGTAAAGTATTATAATTTTTTAACTCTCAAATGGGGTCGTACTGCTGGACGCAGAAAGGACGCCGTCCAGTGTAAAGGGGGCTTTAGAGGCCATCCAAAACAAGTTGATCCGCGAAGTAACAGATCCGAGGACTAAATATGTCCGACTCACTTAAAAGCAGAGCCGACTAATCCCATGATGGCCTCCCCGCCTCCAAACGCGCCGTCGCTGCAGGGGCCTCGTAATTGAACCTCAGAGCCGAGATTTAATTCGTTTAATGGCGCGTGTGGAGACGGGGAAACCATCAGGGGATTAAACGGCGCTGATTTGACATGGGGTCGGCCATATTTAGTCGGAGGATCTTGAAAGGCCCAAATTTAAAAGTATTTCTAACCTTCGAAACTAATTAATACACATCCATTCGCTTTACAGGTATATGGGGCAAAAGGAGGTTTTATTGAATTCGTTATTTATCCAATTCTTATGTTATTATTTTTTTATTTTCATTTTTATTTATTTATTTCATTATTCACATTTGCATTATGGAAGACTAGTATGGTATTCTGAAGTTGTTGTTTTTTTGTGTGTGTGTGTGTGTGTGTGTGTGTGTGTGTGTTTTACGTTCATTTACCACGTCAATTAAACAATCAAGGTGAGAGCGGAGAGTGCACACCCGTATAGCAGGAACAGATGAGCACAAGTTCAAACACTCAAGGCTGATTTTCAATGCAACAGCTCAGACATGACACAACAATGCGATGCTGGTACCCCGGCACCGTACTCACTACCTTCCTTTAATTTCAGCACAGTGGACATGATGTCTACTTTTTGAAAAATAATTTTCAAACCACCAGAAGGGGGACTCTGTTTCCTCGGCGATAATAATAATAATAATAATAATAATAATAATAATATAATAATAATAACATGACTTTATTATTTCAACACATGCATTGAATTCAAACAAAGTTGCCCCTTAAAAGGAAAAGGATTCGAATTTGTATTCCGCAGTAAAAAAAAAACTAAAATAAAAGCTGTTTATCANTCCTTGTACTGTTTGCAAACAAGTATAAGTGGCAGTAACAGACCTGCTCTAATCTGAACATATATCCTTGCACATTTCTGAAACAGATTTCTCATTTTTTTTTTCAGAAATCTGTGTTAAAAGCAAACAGGGAAAGCCCACAAAGAGCCCTTCTTCCTCCTCCTCTCCTTCTGCCCCCCCCAACCCCCACCCCCACCCCTACCCCCACCCCCACCCCTTGCATCATCATGAAACAGAGCCACCCCTATGTAAAATGTTGGATCTGCCTCAGCCTGTGTTCTTATTGTTAATCAATGCCTCACCAGGCAGTCCATGGCTATTATCTAGATTAGACTGCTAGACATTCAAGCACATTATATTTAGGCAGTCTTAATAAGACATCCTCATATTTTCAAACCATTGCAACAAGTCTATGTTACTGACCATGTTTAGAAACAACTAATCTTTTTCTTCCTTTAACACCATGCCACCAATATCTGAGTACTTTAACATTTAACACAGATCATTATCAGTAAAATGTCCGAAAATATTTAACTTAATTAAAAAGCCACTGCATAGTTCACTCCACTTGTTTAATGTATCAATGCCAATAGCCATGATGTTATCTTGCAAATTTGTCACATATTATATTTAGGTCAGACATAATTAACTTCTAGTTCCACACACATCTGATGTTCCCATGGCAACTTAATGGCTCTGATCAATGACTGGACAGCTGTGGTGGTTTCCATGGCAATGTGCCAATCTGTCTCCTCATTGGTCTCCTCATTCAGGAAGTGCAGTGTTACCTTGTTTCCTGTTTCTGTGTCTAGCGTCTAAAAGAAGAAAGTAAAATGCATCCTTGTAAGATAGAGTTACATCACACTGGATATTTCAGTACTATCTACATAAATATATCACAACATATAATTTTTTTCATCCATTTTTATTTTCCTATTCAATTGCAGTTTAAAATAACATAATAGAAATCATATAAAATTTACTTACCACCTCCAGTAGGTCGGTGATGACCTGCTTATCCTTGACTTCAAACTGGCTTTTCTTGGACAGTTCCCCTGGTGCCACCTGTAGCCTGGGGAGAGGCAGTTCCAGGGCCTGGTGGCACACACAGATCTCCTTGCCAAATATAATCAGGCTTACAGGCTCTACAAATACAACAAAGTGTTTAACATTAATGGTTGGGTAATAGTTATTGGCAAATAAATGTACGTAAGTAACTAAGCCTTCCCAAGCCAAGGAGGCAAAATTGTAAAAAACAGAAAAACAAAACCCTACTAGGACTGAAAGCAAAAACCATAATGTAGAAAAACATGAAGCACTGGCTTATTTAGAAGAAAAAGTACAAAGTGTGACATAACAATCTATAATTACTGTGCATTTATGACTTGCTGATGCTACTTGACAGGCCTGCCAGTACCAGGTTTGGCTTAAGAGTTGACCCCTGCAATGACCCTTTGCTAGCCCCATCTGTGACCTCTCAGGTGATCCCCAATTTGGCACAAGGGTTCACTTTTGGCTTACACAAGAGTTATCCCAAAAGTATTCCCCAAAGTTGACTAGAATTGACTGGAGACCTGACCTATGTCTTACCCCAAAATTGACCCCATAATCACCCCAGAGTTCATCGTATTGTTGACACTAAAGTTGACCTTAGATTGACCCCCTAAGTTGTGTTGTGTACCTTCTCCTCCACTGCTCCTTAAGTACCCCATGAAGAACTTCACATTGGACTGGTCATCTTCTTCTCCACATCCTCCTTCCCCATCTCCAACTTGTACATAGGGGGCAGCACCATCTGCATGAGGAGCCAGCACCATGTTTTTGATATTGTCTATGGTATCAATGTTATTTTTGCTGATACCCTGCAATTTGCTGCTCTTGTAGAACGCAGTGGCTTGTACCATGCCTGTAAAAATGAACAAGGGTCCATTCTTTGAAATATACATTGTACTGTTAAGGTCTTACATACAGCACTATACTTTTTGTATTTATAATCTAATATATACATCCTATAAATTACTTATCATACTCCATCTTTAATATTTATACTGACAATCTAATCTTCTACCTGTTATCTGCACAAACAAACACCTGAAACTAAATAGTAATAAAAGCAGCACAGCAATTCTCAATGTCCATGATTAATGTAATAGCAAATACTTCTGTCTTCTAAAATGTCAGCAGCAGCAGCATTATAAAAATAACATAAAATTATACAATTTAACTACCACTGAAAACTGAGCCCCACAGTTTAATTCACCTATGAACAAGGCAAGAAACCGCTTGCATCTGTCCTCGTCTTTGAGTAAAAAAGTGTAGCAGGATCCATCAGTTCCAAACTCCAGTCTAAAAGACTGATGTCCCAGTCCAATGTCAACAAACTGTAGCTCTGTCACGGGCTGCTGGTCCACCACCTTCAGTGCATCCTCAAGTTTCTCACTGTAAAGGGAACATTATGTTCAGGAAGGCAGGGTACAGGACAGAGCTCAAAAGTGTGTGTGTGTGTGTGTGTGTGTGTGTGTGTGTGTGTGTTTGTGTGTGTGTGTGTGTGTGTGTTTGGAAGTTGCTTCAACCTGCAGTCCATCTAAGATGCCTTATAAAATATATGATAAAATTCCAGTTTTTGTCACCTTTTGCCAGTGACTCAAGCTTTCGAGTAAAATTTAATGATCCCTTTGCAAGTGTCATTACCTTTGTTCTTTGATTATCTTGATGATGTAGATTCTCTCTGAGGTGACCAGTAGCATTCCTGGGCACTCTTCTGGCTTAGGAAACTGAACAATGCTTGTCTGTAACATAAAGATTCATGTATATTAACATTTAAGGCAAGTAGGCAAAGAGGGTTTGGGGAAATCAAAAACACCACCTTATTTGACAAAAATGTGGCACTGGATAACTATTGCACTAGGTGTAACAACTGATAACAAGTGTGTTAGCAGTGAAGACTTATAATTATTGCGTTAGGTGTGACAACTTAAAACAATTATTTCAGTTGTGCCTTCTGATAATAATTGTATTACGGGTGACTACTGGTAATAATTGTGCTAGGTGTGACAACTCACCTTCAGAACACACTGTGCCTCCTCTTCCCCCTGCAGAACTGACATGGTCAGGTAAAGCTTCAGCCTGTGGTCTACCTGAGTGAAGTCCTCATAGTTATATCTCACTCCAAGACTGGTCACTTCAACAGAGTCTCTACTGCTGTCCACTCTGAAGGAGTCCTGACTAGTAGTATTGGACTGGTCAGATTCATCAGGGTGAAAAATGTCCCTTTCATCCTTGTCACCCTCATCATGCAAGACCCCCTGGTCACTCTGAACCCTTTGGTCCTCCTGGTCTCCACTNACTTATCGTGTTATCAGTAAAAGTGCACGGCGACGACGGCGACGACGGCGACGACAGACGCAGATGATGGCTATATGTACAGACACATCTGTGTCTGTACATAATAACATAAAATTATACAATTTAACTACCACTGAAAACTGAGCCCCACAGTTTAATTCACCTATGAACAAGGCAAGAAACCGCTTGCATCTGTCCTCGTCTTTTAGTAAAAAAGTGTAGCAGGATCCATCAGTTCCAAACTCCAGTCTAAAAGACTGATGTCCCAGTCCAATGTCAACAAACTGTAGCTCTGTCACGGGCTGCTGGTCCACCACCTTCAGTGCATCCTCAAGTTTCTCACTGTAAAGGGAACATCATATTCAGGAAGGCAGGGTACAGGACAGAGCTCAAAAGTGTGAGTGTGCGTGTGTGTGTCTTTGTGTCTGTGTGTGTATGGATGAGTGTATATTAATTTTTTCCTACAATGTATGTAGTTAAACCAAAAAGAAAAATATAATTTTTTCTAATCAATCAGCAATACCATGAATTTTCTTTCTTTTTTTTTTTTTTTTTTGAAAGTTGCTTCAACCTGCAGTCCATCTAAGATGCCTTATAAAATATATGATAAAATTCCAGTTTTTGTCACCTTTTGCCAGTGACTCAAGCTTTCGAGTAAAATTTAATGATCCCCATGCAAGTGTCATTACCTTTGTTCTTTGATTATCTTGATGATGTAGATTCTCTCTGAGGTGACCAGTAGCATTCCTGGGAACTCTTCTGGCTTAGGAAACTGAACAATGCTTGTCTGTAACATAAAGATTCAGGTATATTAACATTTAAGGCAAATAGCAAAGAGGGTTTGGGGGAATCGAAAACACCACCTTATTGGACAAAAATGTGGCACTGGAGAACTATTGCACTAGGTGTAACAACTGATAACAAGTGTGTTAAGTGTGCAGTGAAGACTTATAATTATTGCGTTAGGTGTGACAACTTAAAACAATTATTTGAGTTGTGCCTACTGATAATAATTGTATTACGGGTGACTACTGGTAATAATTGTGCTAGGTGTGACAACTCACCTTCAGAACACACTGTACCTCCTCCTCCCCCTGCAGAACTGACATGGTCAGGTAAAGCTTCAGCCTGTGGTCCACCTGAGTGAAGTCCTCATAGTTATATCTCACTCCAAGACTGGTCACTTCAACAGAGTCTCTACTGCTGTCCACTCTGAAGGAGTCCTGACTAGTAGTATTGGACTGGTCAGATTCGTCAGGGTGAAAAATGTCCCTTTCATCCTTGTCACCCTCGTCATGCCAGGCCCCCTGGTCACTCTGAACCCTTTGGTCCTCCTGGTCTCCACTACCACATGCATCTGGTAACACCTCTTTCAAATCACCATAATCTCCCTCTTTTCTCACAATTTCCACATCCATACCTTCCTCTCTCGAGTTCAAATCATGGGGAATATTCCCCTTCACAAATATTTGGTGTTCTTCTGCCAGTCCAGATTTCTTAGGTGATTCTTGCAGAGCCCTTTCATACACACTGTCCACCATGCTGGAACAGGTGCTGGTCAGCAGGGAGCCAGATGGACTGGCCTCGGCTACAGTGGACATGGTCATCACACCTCCATCTTGGAGGTCCATGGCTGGAGTCCTTATAGGAAGTGAAGTTCTGCGCAGACCTTGGAAGTCTGAGTCTGTTGTGCTACTGGCCAAGCTGGCAGCTCCCGAGGAGTCCAGGACAGCTATGCTACTCTGACTGGGGTTGCTTAAAATACTGATGTCACTGTCACCCGATTCAAGTCTTCGATAAGAATGTTGTCTCCCTGAATACTGAGATGCCTCTGAAGGAGGAAAATTTGACTGAGATGATTCTGCCATTGTTCTAGAGTCATCCATCCCTCTGCGCTGTAATGACTGATCTGTCTCTCTCCCAGCAGAATCACAAAATGTACTGTCAGCAGCTAATGACGTGGCTCCTCTTGGTGTTGACATGTTGCTATGACTACCTGTTGTCAAAGTAACACTGGAAATATCACTTGTTTTAGAACTGTCACTGGGTTTTTCAACCTCTTGAGGCTCAAACAATTTTACCCTTAAGTCTTCCACCCTCAATTCCCTTTCATATGACTTTGACCCAAACGACCTTGACCCAGATCCTTCAGTTGCTGTGGAATAATCTGTTAATGAAGTATTTGGGGAATGATTCTCCTCTGACCTTGACTGAGTAGCTGCTGTAGCTGGGAGTACTGAGCCAGGGGTTGTCTCGACAGCACTCACGAAGGAGGTGTTGGGGCTGGAAGTGGTTGCCTGGGGCAGACTAGAACCAAATCAAAACATTTTAAACACTGACAACTACATGTACCTCTTTTGGAATCTTCACTCAATATCAAGTTCTGGAAATTCCTTAACCAAATATAATTACATGTGTTACATTCCTGGTAAGTGACTTCTGCTGCTTCAGAATATCTGAGTAATCTCTAATTGCAAGTACATGTATTTTCATATTTAATCCAGTATAAAATCAACAAGGTATAAATGTGACCTAGTTTCAATCTCGTGTCCTGACCTTACTGCTGTCCCTGTCCCAGCCTCTCCTCTTCCTGTAGGTCTCTGTGGGGTATTAGGGGCAGTGGATGTGGCAAGGGGCCCTGGAGCTGACCCCGTGGAAGCGAAAGAGCCAACCCTAACCTCTTCTTTCACTGCTGTTGCTAAGAAATTGACCTCCATTTCCACCACATGCTCACTATCACATGATGGGCAGCTTAAGATTTCTTTGACACTCCCTTAAGATATGAATTTTAACAATAATTAGTACCTCAAATGATGCCACATGTATTCACCTTTTTCTGCAATACTAAAAAATATTGTTATCTTATTGTTTTAGGTTTGAACTACATGTAGGTGACTCTTATCCATTAGTTGAAAATCTTAATGAACATTATATTCTATTCAACAACATTCAAAACATGAGTTAAAATACCAAATTCAATTAAATACGAATTTTTATTTGAACATAAAAACAAAAACTTAACATTTACCTTTTAGTTTATCTACTGCATTTTAATAACAAGCAACTTAATTAATTTACACAGATTTTCATTTTATATGCATTTTTGACATGATTCAAACTCCAGAGATTCTAGTATAATTATTTCACAAGTTTTGAAGTGCACATACCTCCCTTGGTCTTTTCTCTCCTAACCTTCACCTTAGCCTCTATTTTTGCAAACTCTTTGCCGCACTTAAGGCACTGAAACATCTCCTTCAGACTTGCTCGTCTATTTCTGGCATCAAGCCAAGGCTGTAGGTGGTCCAGAAAAAGCTGGAATGACCATTCATTGTAATTTTGAGATTCAATCTTTGGCATACATCAAACACTTAAAAGTTGAGGCAGTCTTACGTCCCAGGATAATGCAACTACTATATATCTCTTTGTATTCAAATTTTTTTATCAAATCAATGAAAACTTGCTGGAATAACTTCAGACATTTCTCATTTTCTTCTGAGATCAAATAAGTTACAATAAGTGTTTGACAATATGTGGTAGCTTCACATTCGGCTCTAAATTGGTATGCTGACCTGAGCATTTTCCTGATCCTCCATCAGATATCTTCTCTGACGCCTGTCCTTCTTCCAGTAATCAAAAACCAGCAGCAGTGAGCATTCTTCCATATGTGCTAGCTGAGACGTTTGTTGTGTCTCGTCTTCTCCAGGTTCTGCACCAATCCTGTCATTTTTCTCTAAGCTGTCAGCTTGTCTTGAGGTGTCTTGGTCACTAATCAATGATGTGCCCTATAAATATATTACCTAGGCACTGACTGGCTATTCAAATAGAACAAAAGCATAACTGAGAGAGTTTTTTCTTTCAGTGTGTGTAGGGTATGGTCCAGTTCTCAGAAAGTTTCCACCTACTACCTGTCTGACCCTTTTATGAAGAAAGACCTCAAATCTAGGTCCTCTTTAACAAATGTACCAGTATGGGTGCGGTAGCCATTGCCACCAGCCTTCATAACTATCTTTTAATAAACAAGTATATTAAGAAAAGACAACAAAATAACAAAAGAAAAATTAACACAAAACAGCTTTCCCATTATAATTGTGCGATGTGAGAATTAATATCAAGCCACCAATAAATCATCAGCATCTACCAAATATTTTATCACACAAAGCTTAATGACAACTTAGTTGACCACCTAGCTGACCACCTAGTTGAGTCCCTAGTTGATTGCCTAACTGACCACCAAGTTGACCACCTAGCTGACCACCTAGTTGATTGCCTAGGTGATCACCTAGTTGACCACCTAGCTGAGTACCTAGTTGATTGCCTAGCTGATTACCTAGTTGAGTCCCTAGTTGATTGCCTAGCTGACCACCAAGTTGACCACTTAGTTGACCACCTAGCTGAGTACCTAGTTGATTGCCTAGGTGACCACCTAGTTGACCACCTAGCTGAGTACCTAGTTGATTGCCTAGCTGACCACCTAGTTGACCACTTAATTGACCACCTACCATGCCCTCCACTCCAGACTCCACAACCCCTGCAGACAGCAGTAGCTTAAGGTCCAGCTGTTCCACCATGGCACCATCAAGGTCCTTCTCATTCATATAGCGGTCACTTAAAGTGACCAACAGTTGATGACCATCCTCCAAGGATACAATGAAGGGGTCACTCTCATTTTCTAGAATGAAAATTTGTGAAAGCACATACTTTTAATAAAGAATCTGCTCTTATTCATTTAAAACCCAAAGGTAAGTAAAGAATGAGGCAAGTTCCAATAATATATCTAAAGTCTATAGTAACAGAAAAGTTTTTAATGAATCTGATGAAAATATTTCAATCCTGCATTACGGTTAATCTGAGCAGCTACAAATTCATCAAACTGTCAACTAAATTAAAACTTACCACATGGCTCAAAATATTCACTACTTGTTCTTCTATAGGCTGGGAACACACTTTCTAAATCATTGATCTGGTGATGATTATTTTTTCCACTTTCATAAATCTGCCCACTTGCATTTCTTGACTTTGTGCCATTCTTATCTCCTGATGAAGTACCCCCCTGACTGGCCTCCCCTTCCAGGCACATAGCAACCATTTGTCTCAGATCCTCAGCTTCACCAGCCATCACATTGCCATGACTACTGCTGCCATCACCAGTTGCCATAGCAACAGTATCCTGCTTACCAAGCACAGGACTTTCTGTTTGTGAACTGCCATGATTATCTGCATGAATGTCCACCACAGTTTTATTTTCAGGTTTTACTGTATTAGCAGAGGACTGTATAGATTCTACATTATCAACCTGTTTAACTCCACTTCTCTTCGGCTCAATTCCCTGCTCATCTGTTAAATACAAGTCATCATCTGTTACTAGAGGACGCTGCTGTTGCTCTGTGTTTTGTTGTTCCGGATCTGGAGTGGGTAATGATTGCAGCCATTTTGGTCCCAACTGGCTGCGAATTGTCTCAATGTGCTGCTTCTCAAAGAACTTTGGAAAGGAGTTCTCCTGTTTTGGTGTAGACGCTGCAAAGACAACAGTTTATGGTGCTTAACTTTGTCTTTGAGCTCATATGTCCAGCTATTACTGCTAAGTTTATCATATTTGTACACAGATCTTAAACAAAATTCAGGTAATGCTGATAAAAAATTTCTAATACATCCATCATGGTACAGGACACAAAATGGAAGCAATTCCGCAATATACATCCAATCGCAGGTCAGGACATAACATGAACTTGTTACAAGTAAGATATAATGCATCCTCAAAGACAAAACCATTGCTGGTCAAAGCTATACCATTCAGAACCCCTTTTTGTCATGCTCTGTGTCTTGATTTTTTTAAAAAATAAAAAATGAAAAGGTCATGCAAAGCCATGTAACTTGCTGTTAGTAACTATTAAACTATTGCCGATCAGCATAAAAATCAAATGTTAGAGAAAAAAACACAGATGCCAACAGTCTGGAAGTCCACAGCTGTTATGAAATAACAAAAGGCGGGCTTGAGATAAACATTTCAACTAGACATTAATATGTACAAGGACAAAGTTTTCTTTAAAATTTCAGCAAAATATACAAGTCTACCTAAACACCAGGAACCACTTACTAGTTCATGTATCTGAAACTGCTGAGAAAATGCACTTAGTGCTGTGTACACAAAAGTGCAAAATGACATGAGATGTGTTTACTTTTTAAAAAACAAAAGGATTTATATATAATGCTAGCTGGGTGATGCAAGCTCTTAGATCATGTAAAAGAATAAAGGCAACACTTTAAAAAAAGCATGAGCAAAAACTTCTATACTGAAAAAAATTCATATCTTTACCAATCTTCACTTAGTGTACTAGTTGGTTCACAAAATCTTTATAATTTGAGATATTCCAAAGTCCTTATTAAATAACACTTAGGGAGAAAAAAATCACCCATTAGTAAGAAGTACCATACATGTCATGGGCCTAAAACTGAAAGGGGGGTTTGATCTGGGATAGTCAAAACCACAGGAATCTGGTAAGGTAAAAATGAAGCCCCAACATGGCATTTATTTTTTCCTCGATGGTAACCAGCTCTCCCCCCCCCCCCCTCCCCCATGCAACTTAAATCAAGCTTTCTACATGTCAGCTCATGCACATTCTCCTCAGTCAGTGGAGGTAAGCCCAGGGTCCTTCCTAAGCAGATAACATGGTGCATAACAGTGCACACAGCTAACTAAAGCACTACCTGGGTATAGGACGAACCTGGTAAACAAGGCAGCACTGACAGTACATCACATTTACATTGTACCAGAAACATGTTAGAAGCAACTGGGATACTGCAGGGATCACATAATAGCTGCAATGTCTGTATATAAAAGCTGATTAAAACTGAAAGAGTTCTGAGATACCTGTAGAAGTTGTCACTACATCTGGAACTTAAAGAGAAGATAAACATGATAAATCTTTAAGTACTTTTGAATGAATGAAATATGTGTCCAAACCTGTAACCAGCAATATCAAGGGGGAGGAGGGACTTTTAATGAAAAATTGACCATTAATACACACACTGTAGATCAAATTTTGATTCAGAGGGGAACTTTGAGGAAACCCATGCACTCCACCCTCTCCAAACTATCTACTAGTCACTTATTGCTATAGCTCGGCTTTCAAATGATAGTATAGAATATACTTTTTTAAACATAACCAGTACCTCTAGAACTTTCCTTCGAGGAGCCCCCAGTGTCTGTGAAGTCAAACCCATCACTGCTGCTGAAGATAGTCTGCCTGAGAGAGCCCTTCGACCTTTTCCTGGCCAGCTTCTGTTTTCCTTTGGGGGTCAGAGTCCTGGCAATCTCCCCTGACTGCTCAAACCTGTAGGTGTCAGCCACAGTGGGGGTAGACGTCCGGCTATCTGTGAAACGGTCATTATGATAGACTACATCATGGCTGCCACGGGGTGAAGAGGAGAAGACCTGACCATGTTTTCGTGTGTACTGGAATGAGTGGACAGTAGGGCGTTAGCATAAAATTTCTTTTGGTATCTGTTGGCCACTAATCCAGCAAAATGCTGGTGAGTTCAATAGCTGCAAATAGTTTTGCATTTTCTGAAGGCAAACTACTTGTTTTAAAAACTGACCAAAAATAATTTTATTGAGCTACTACTCAAAGGGAAATGCAAAACATGTTAACATATCTTTTAATTAATGTATTGCTTAATATCTAAGATCAAAAGCCCCTAGACAAAGGCCTGTGTGATGAGAGAATATACAGCAGAAAGACTAAAGATGTAAAGGAAACCCACAGCTAGTTCAGCTTTACTCAGCTTCTTCTCATCCAGGAGTATGTGAGCCTGTACAGCATAGGGGATGTATCTGGTGGTGAGGAGGCGATACTGGGGGTGGTACGACAGAGGGTTGCCTTCTAAACAAAGCTGAAACAGACAATGTTAATCTGGTCATTCTTGTGTTGATTTCTTACTTAAGTCAAACAGTTTGGCTTCTGTTCGAAACCTCAAAATACAGTATATGTACATGTAGTTACCACATTTATATAAATACAATGGAGGTTTCACTTCGAGCACACACACATGCCAACACACACACACACACACACACACACACACACACACACACTTCAAGAGATGAGCAACCTACAGTAGCTGTTGTTATAAAAGGCCAAGGTTTACTTCTCTTCTACATACCACATTTTTCCCTGTATTGTTCTCTTTTCCACCTGCCATGGTCTAGCTGGTTTACCTATCCTATTCTACCTGTCATAGTCTAAATTGTTTACCTATCCTATTCTACCTGCCATGGTCTAGCTGGTTTACCTATCCTTTTCTACCTTTCATGGTCTAAATGGTTTACCTATCCCATTCTACCTGCCATGGTCTAGCTGCTTTATCTTTATTCCACATGCCATGTACTACCTGTCATGGTCTACTTACCATGTGGAGTTGTGTCAGATGGATGAGAGGCCCAAGTTCAGAATGGTCAGAAAGACAATTGTCAGCTACATCCAGATGTTTCAGATTTACCAAATCTTCAATTCCTGGACAAAAAAACATAATGTGAAAAACTTATGAAGACCCCCTTGCATTGCAATAATTAATTTTAGCAGGAGAAATACATTCTTACAAAAAAATCTGATATTCATCACTGTGTAAGACAAACTTCAGATATTTGGCTTCAATAAAAATATGACAAAATCACTTCAGAAGAACTTCATCTTAGGGAAATTATCTTTACCCCCTAGCTGATTCGGTAGGCGTGACAGACATTTAAGCCTCTTGAGTTGATAGCAATTTAGCGTGAACCCCCAGGGAGTTAGGTCGATCCAGATGGATCAATCTAAGTATGGGAACCCAGTCTTAATGTTAAATGCTGCCTATGATCAAAATATCAAAATGAACATTTCAAAACCCCTACCTTGAATGTTATCAAGGTTGTTACTCTTCAGGATGAGTGTGACTACTCTCTGTCTGCCTGTGATGGTGAAAGATGGCACTTGTGTCAAACAGTTGAAGCCAAAATTGACATGGGCCAGATCATGAAGGTAGTGCAGATAGCCCTCAGTGGTCACTATCTTGTTGTGGGACAGGTCAAGGAGCTGGACATGGGGCAGCAGGCGCTAAATATATCACAGTGACACATTAAGATTAGGAGATAAATGTAAAATTAATGATTCAGAAGTAAATCGTTCAACAATTCAAAGACATCAAAGGTCATTTAGGATTAGATAGGCAGCTATGGTAACAACAGAAAAGGCAATTTTTGGCATAGCTGTTTTGGAAATTTGAGATGCAATCAAACATGAGATTAAAATAAAAATAGAGCAGAAATTATTATTTTTCTTAAGACTACTACAACTAAATAAAATACTTTTCAGAAGTTCACATCAAATCTGCCTAATCATTCCTCTAAGTCATATATCTGGAAAAAGATACTGGGTACTTACCAGAGATTCATCAAGAACTTGAATGTCATTAAAACTGAGCACAGCCACTCTGAGTTCACTCCAAGACCAGGCTTCACTCTTGTCTCCTCCACATGTCTCAAACAGATCCTGGAGTGACACAAGTCAGAATTTACAAGTACATTATAAGTGAGTGCTTGAAGACAAAATATTTGAAGATTGACATATGAATTGATCTTTGGGAATTAAACAGAATCTGAAGTTAAGATTGTTGGTATTCAACAAAACATATAGTTAGTACTTTTTTGTTCTAATTAGTGGAAGATTAACTATCATACACTTGTACATACAACCCCCCTCCAAAGTTGAAAAATATAACCTTACACTTGAATGGTAAACTTAACAATATCAAAATGACTTTTTAAATAAATGTTATGTAACTATGCTTTGACTAGGATCAGTAAGAAATGTGTGTTGATTCTTATCCGAGTTGAAGGTCAGGTTCAATATTTAGTCTTTATTCATCAAATAACACTTCAGCCATTCCCATTTGATTGTACACACTTTCAGGTTTCACCTAAAGAGCAACATCTGAGCAGGCACTGTGTTAAAACCAAGAATAATGTTTCCAACTCAAGCTCATGCATGCATTGGTATCTGAAAACATCCCTAAAGGGCACATTAATTTTTCTATCAACATATCCTGCAAAGAGACTGATCTTTCCCCATTGCAAAGGCCTCTTGAAATTTAATACCATTCAAAGTAAGAACCTGATGTCAAGATTTTCTACTGAAATGTACAGGAAGACGTGGTCTAAAACATCTGGCTAGACAATTATTTATTTATTAAGAAAATCGTATAAAACATTAAATTTTAGGGTAGGGACAGGTTGAGCAATGATTCATGAGAAGGAAAAAAGGTATTTTTTATTGTGGAAAATTAGACTATGCAAAAAAATAAGATACAATACCTTTGAAAAAAGGGCAGTGTATGACTTGTGATGAAACTTCAGATATTTGGCTGAAACAAGGACCACCACACTCAGTTATATGCAAAATTTACGTTGAAAATGTAAATCCATCCTAATGAAATTCCCAAGTGTTGTTGGCGAACTTTTCCACCCTCATCTCAAATTGGATGCTTTCCTTTGGTCATTATGTTCATATTTACCTGTAGTTTGTTGACACTTCTTGCGCACACCAGTGTTTCCAGTTTGGACCTCAATTTCTGTATCCCGGCCAATAAGTGAACAGGGACCTTCTTAATCTCCAGCCACCTTAACTCTCTGAAGTCCCCAATATTGATGCTTCCCTGCAACGTGCTATGACTGTGAAGAAGCTATAAAAGTAAAAAAAAACAAACTAAAAAATATCAAAAAGTAATTTTTTCAATCAATGGCTAATACTTAAATGCTGTTTACTTCCAGTAGTGAGGAAACATAACTAGTGCACACTTAGAGCGTAACACAAATGATGTGAAATTTAACACTGATTTACTTATAGTACTAAGAAAAAACTAAGAACAGTACGCATCTAAAATGAAATAAAACAATTAGCACTGACTACATTTTTTTTCCAGCATATCCCAAAAATAATTTATTATTATTATTATTATATGTTTATTTTAATGATTTTATATTTATTTTTAAATAACATGGCAAAAGTGAATAAAGCATTTGTTAGCATTTTGTTTTTTGTAACAAGAGCAAAGCTAAAGATCTACTTACAATCTAAAAGACAATAAGACTTCTGCAATTCAACAATGAAATAAATTAAATAAAATAACGAAATGAAAAAAAAATCATATTAAATATTCTGCACATTTTGAAATTAATGAAACCCCTTGCTTCCTACCTTCAGTCTCCTTGTCTTCTGCACAATATCATGTAGAAACTGGACATTGTCATAAAAATCATACTGACTGGACCTTCTTTGTGGCAGGACCTCAAATGTCCTCTGGTGCGGGTCTATATCACATACTGTCCTGAAGTCTCTGTTCAAGGCAGCCAGTGAGGCCGTGGTGAGGCTAAGACAAGAGCTGCCATCAAGGATCTTATCACCTGTGTAGTAATGTACAGTACATATTTGTATAGTAGATCTACAGGTGTGTGTGTGTGTGTGTGTGTGTGTGTGTGTGTGTGTGAGAAAGTGACAGATCGGAGAAATTTAAGTAGAAATAAAAATGTACGAGTTACTACCAGACAGAAAATAGTGGGATATTTGTTTAAACAGTTTAGGACTGACTTACACTAGCCCAGTATCGATATTTTGGGAGCAAGAATACATACCATTGTCTCGTAACAGTTTAGCAAGATTCTCGAGGGTATGCCTTTCTCTTGGGTTAACGGATGTGGTATTTACTGAGGCAGCGGCCATGCAGGAATATTTATTTTTAACTTTGTAAATAGCATCTTCCTTCACTCCCCTTTCACCGGAAGTCATAACAAGTAGAGTCAGCTGTTAAGTTGAATTTTATTTTCGATTTTGTAAACTAGGTAACGTTTACCAAATATTTAATAATATCTATCATGACACATAACACGGTTGATTTGCACAATCAGTGACATAAATTACTATTGCAAATGGCCCTTCGTAGTCCAAGACAACATTATGCAATTAGGAAGCACAAATAGGTCAAGGCCGTTTGAAACGGACGGGGCGCAGTACAGTGCAACACGAACCCATAATTTAACGGTAGGTATCTTAAATTAAAGTGCAAACTAGTAGAAAATGGGCAGGTAAATTAAAGTTGAAATTTACGTGTAGTTCTTAGTTACATTGTTTTGAATGTGTACCCAAGATAGATATTTTATGTGGCAAACGTGACTTACGAAAGGTCACTGCCAGCCATTTTCCAACTTGCGTCATGATGATACTTTTTAAAATGCACACATCCTGCCCCATAAGTACTAGCATCCTGTTCAACAGAGGAACAGAACTTACGTTACTAACTTCAACAAGACAAAGGTGGACTTAATTTCAGCCTTCTAAGAACGTCCATACAGGTTGTATTTCAGACTTACTTGGAGCTTAGTATCGTTGGTATCCTTGGAAGTTGATTTGCCTCCATGTTTGCCTTGTATACAGGCCATAAGCATTAATGACTACTAACTTGGTGCACTATATCGCTGGTAAGGTCTTATTACATACTGAGTTACAAATTCTCAAAGCTATGTTATTTCTATTGTCCTCCCCACCATGTTGTATATAATGAACTATTAAAATACTTTTGTATTGCGGTTCTGACGCCAGTTTGATAAGGTTTTAATCTTTGCATTTCATCTTTCTTGGATGAATATTTATTACAAAACATCCCACCTCTTACTCATGCCAGTGTTACTGTTTACGAAGGCTATTTTTAGGTGATGCCACATAAGCCTAGAGAGTTTGAAATACAGGATGGAATGAAGCCTTACCAAAAAGGGTCAAACTTAAGCCAGAATTAAGGAACTTGTAGTAGATGGACAATTTTGGCAGGGAACTTGGTGAGGCTTTCAATGCACAATAGAATTGAGCATAAGTAAGCTCAGTACCCTTAGTATATTTTATGGGCATATTTGAGACCAAGAAGGACAAGATATGTAGTTACTCTGTGCACATGTTTTTTATGTGTGTAAAAAGGATAAAATGCCTTAATCAACATAGTGTTGGTTTGGGAGTTTAACCCCTTGTAACCTTTGGTTGAGTTTTTTAAACTATTTTATGAAGCTAAAAAAAATCATGTTTTATTGACACCATGTTTGCCATTTTTAAGATGCCATGTCCAAAATGGAGACAAAAGCTTACCAACTTGGTTTTCATTACCTAAATGTTGCAAAGAACATGTGCTTGTGTGGTTCCAGGATTTTATAAGCACTTAATATGCATGTGACAGATAGATATCTAAGCTGGTACAAACATAATACTAGTTAGACACTTTTCCTTGTATTTTTTGAAAATGTACAACTAATCCTACCTGTAGGCACATGCAGTTGCTATAGCTTCATGCTATTCTGGCACTTTATTTTCTTTTTTTTTTTTTTTCAGCAACAGATTGAAGGACCCATTGCCACCATTATTTTCAAGATATTTCTATAGAATAGTTAATTTCTTTGAAAAAGTCTGCATACCAACATCATATACAGTCATCCTACACAATGCCCGGTAGTTCAAATCCTTCAAATGAAGAAATCAGACAACTTATTAGAGAAATCCGTGAAGATGAGAGAAATGCCAGATCTGGAGAAAAGAACAGTTTTAATGTAAAGAAAAGTGGGTCAGTTTTTGAAACAATACCAGAAATTCCTCTCAGTAAGTTTGTCAGGTTTTTATGTGCAGATGTGTGTGTGTGTGGGAGTCACAGGCCAGGTCCCAATCTAGTCTAAATAGATACTAAACTGAATACAACTAAATTTCATTTGCCAGGCCTTAGGTTTAATATGGTATACCTTGAGCTGGAATGTCCTCAATTCAATAACACATGACATACAAACAAAATGGCAGCTCACCTGCAAATTACTTGGTCAATAAGGCACAGGCCCATTGGGGTGTCAACAGTGCAAAGACCCAATTGGGATCTGGCCTAATGCTGTTAGTACACACACACACACACATATATATATATATATATATATATATATATATATATATATATATATATATATATATATATATATATATATATATATATATACCCATTTACTACTATTTACTTTAACAGATAATTTTAAATGTGCATTTATACCCCAGGATTAGAAGTAATATTTGATTATGATTGTTTTTCTAAATTCAGTTATATGGTGTCTTTAGGGTGATCAAGGCCATAGGGCCGTCAAGCTCCACTTATATAAATATTTAATTTTAATTGGATCTCCCCTCATCAACACTGGTATTGTAATGGTTATAATTTTTATTTTATGGATAATTTGTGGTTTTTTTTTAATGTTTAAACCTTGCTTTATTTTTATTCTCAGCAATTGCCACAACAATTGGGTATTTCCTGTATAAAGTGAAAACCAGGCCATTCAATGCTTACTCTGGGTACTGGTTGGACGTCAGGGTAAAGACACAAACTCTGCTTGTCTTCGGTGGTTTATTTTTCCATTTTGCATGTGGTATGTACAGAGATGTGAAGGAGAAGGTAGAGAAAGATAGAGAAGAGATGAAAAAAACACAAGCGATGAATAGGACAAAATAATCTTTGAATAGAAAGTATTAAAAGGATGAAAGTATCATGAAAGTTGAAAGTGTTCATTTGAAAAGAAATATTAAAAGATGCTGATGTCCATGGATGTGCTCACACATAAAGTTAGACCTAGACTACTGAAGGTCTCAATCTGACTACCATGTTATTTAATCAGTAAATATTCCCGTTTTCTGAATCCATATGAAGTGTTTGATAAGTCAGAGTTTGGGAGAACCTGTCCTCATTAATAAAAACTGCCTGATGGTTGAATGTGGTTGATGTGGTTCAGACTTAAATTTATTTGGGTTTTGTCTTGGTAAATCTAGGCCAAGATAGTGCTGCTAATTATCCAGTGTACTAGACTGCACATGGACTTTGCATTACTTTGCTGAACACATACACTCAGAATGGTGTACAGAAAAATTTGTAGTATGTGCTCAAATGTACTAAGGAAAAAACACTTTGGATGCAGTGAAAAGTTTAAGATAAAGATAGATCAGAATAGAATCAAAGTGCATTAAACGGGTAGTTTTATTAGAATTCTTCAGAATTTGTTAATTTAAAATTTTAAATAAAGATGTTTGATTCACAGTGATGAAAATTAAACAAGTTATAAACTGTGTATTTCTGGATCAGAGTAAGCTCAGTAATTAATCGACTTCAGTGGGAATGATAATGTTTCAATGTAATGATGCTGTTCCAATGCAGGAATTATTATTATTATTTTATTATTTAGTGAACGTTCCAGTATTTTATTTTACGGCCATTATAAACAATGAGGATAATGAATGTGTTGCATCTTGAAATTCATTTTTTTATGAAGAATTGCATATTTGGTGGGACTGGATTTTTAAATAAAACATTTGTAATCTAAATGTAGTTCTGTTAAATTTGCATTCTATGATATGCGATAACGTGAGAAAAATAACATGACCGTCTTTTCCCAAGAACGTCAACTTTTACGTTTCCGAAAATCCAAATTTAGAAGCATTTTTGCTGGTCTTTCTCCGTTCGTGATTGGTGCCCGTCCACCATGAAGTCAAGCTTGATGCTGCCATACAGAAAAGAAAAGAATCGGCTAGCTGTTAGCTAAGAATGTTATTGGCATTTTAGAGTAAGTGGCAATAAATTAAAGGTCTTGCTTCCCAAACCTCTCCAAACTTTCTTATAATACTGCAAATCATTGATTTATTAACATTTATTTATTATTGTTATTATTAGTGTTGTCGAAGTATCCAAATGTTATGACATTTTGTTACCGTTGATGCGTACAGCTTGATGAGTAATACTAGCACTACCGTATTCCAAAAAAATTTAGGGCTGTGATTATATTTGGAGATAATACCCCCGTCACACTAGAGGGGAAATGAGCAAGAACGCCGTCGGAAAGACGATTATTTGTGCGTTCCTGGAAATTCGAAGAACATTCTAAAAATTCCGAGTGCATTCCAAATTTTTTTACCCATTCTTGTGGCCGGCTCGCCATTCTTCATCATTGCGCCTCTGGTGTGACGGGGGTATAAAATCCCGCCAGAATGTTTCGAACGTGCCTCGAATGAGCTGAAATATTAATTCAGCCAGCAATCGAACTACACTAGTACGCCATTCGAAGTATATTCTAAATATTCTGACTGCCTTCTGACAGCATTATAGATATTCCTAGTTTTCCAACTACATTCGAGCTGCATTTGAGAACTAATACAGTAGAAAGTACATTAAACATTCCAGGCGGGTTCAAGCGCATTCTGAGTTTTCCAACGGTACTCTTACAAGAATTAAGGTCAATTTGAACTTTTTCCCGAATGTTGTGCGAATTTTGAAAATTCTTCATTCAGGCTCATTCTGCTTGATTCCTGCTGATTCCGAATAAGTGTGACGGGGGCTTAAGTGTGGTTTGCTTGCGCTCGGAGAAATACGACAGAAGGCCGAGTTTCTGTTCATATCCCGGCAGCCGCTGTGCTAGGGAAGCAAGTCAAAGCCAATGCTCAACTAAACAAATCAATTATGAGCTTGCTTGCAGCGCGTGACGTGTGCTGTGAGATCACTCTATTCCCGGTGAAAAAAATCGAAGTGCACCGAACTATGATCTTTTTTTTTTTTAATTCTCAGTAGTGATCCATATTAAATCGTCATGAGATAACAGTACATCATTGCCTGCGGGACACGAAAGGTCTGAGTTAATAGCTGTCACAGCATGTGCTGTATGTGACATTTAATCAAACGGCTGTATGAAAGGTTTTGTATCCTCTAGGGTAATGGCCTTCCAGATTAAAGCCTCTGCCGATAACCATATTTTCAGTGTTGGTGACAATTTTTCCTTCCATTTAGTTGACGCAAGGACGTTTTGACCAGAGCTGGCTGTGCCTAAATTCAGAAAAAAGCCCCATCGAATGCACGGTGTATTTTGGTGGCAGTGTGTTATTTGACATACATACCGAGAGAAAGTACTCGCATTTCGTCGAAAAACTCCCTTGAAACCCAGGCCTTTTGAACGGATTAGGCGAGCACTACCTGCAGATTTTTAGCACCAACACCCATATTTTAAAACCACCAATCCACAAATTAACCAACACACCGTACAACTAGGGACCGTTCACATGAAAAATCTGTTTTCTAAAAATCTATTGTCGGTATCTAGTGATCACGGTCTGTGCCCTGAATACCCCGCGGCGTAATTAACTAGCAGCGCGAGCGAGTCGTTTCCAAAGCTGTAATTAATTCTTGGCTGCGCTCGGAGGAGATTCTGACGCCTGGACGCATGCGCAGTTGTATCTTTAAACTGTGGATTTCGTTAGTTTGCACTCATATCTGTCGTGTGTATATGGACCTCATCTTCTTCTTCGTCTTGTTGTTGCACAAAATCGACAAACACATTTTTCAAAGCAACCGCGACTGTCATTTTCTTTCTCTCTGCGCATGCGTCCAGGTATCAGAATTTCCTCCGAGCGCAGCCGAGAATTAATTACAGCTTTGGAAATAACTCGCTCGTAAGTAATTACGCCGCGGGGTATTCAGGGCACAGACCGTGATCACAAGATACTGCCAATAGATTTTTAGAAAATAGATTTTTCATGTGAACGGTCCCTTATTTAGCACTGACAAAGCGATAACTAGCTCTAACATTCATCCACTCTGATAGTGCAGGTTAATTTGTGGGTTAGGTGGTTAATATGGGTGTTAGTGCTAAAAGATCTGCGGGCAGTGTAAGTAAACGCTAATCCGTTTATAAGGCCTGAAACCGAATAAAGCGTTATCGCCACGGTCAGTTGTTCTTTATACTATTAACAATGTGGTCTTTGTCAAGTGACCATGAATTGGAAGACACGTTCAATAATTAAACACCGCGGCAATTAAGTGTTTTGTTAATCTTCATATATAAGTTCTTATAGACTCTTTTCTAAAAATTCATGAAGTATTCTAATTCCTTTCCAAGCGCTCCAAAGTATCCATATTGTTAGAAGAAAGCATAATTTCTCTACTAGAATGATGCTTGTAATTATTTGGGTCATTCTTCAATATTTTTGATGCACAGAAACAATACAATACAGAATTAACCCCCCCGCTGATCAGCTGACTGCCTGTCAAAGTCGATTGTCATTCCGAATCGCCCACTGTAAATGATAGAAGCTTGGTATTTGAAATAAAACATTAAGACGGTCGGCTGAAAGACGTAGAAAACTATACAAGTATGACTGTCCGTGTATGTTAAGTGCGTGTTTAGCTATGTACTGGTATCGTTGTGTTGGCGATTGCACTGGGATTATATGAGGTCAACTGGCCACTGCATTCCACTACCAGGGTCTCCGGCCATAGACCCAAACCGTGCTCTGTTGTTCATTGTTGTCAGTAAGGTTACGTTGCATTTTGTTTGCCGATAATGTTCCGTAATTAGTAGATATTAATGGGGTATCATATCTTTAACAGAATCTAGAATTGACAATTTCACATGTTTACTATAATTAATCGAACCAGAACGTATGACATGCAGTTTTCGGTTAATCGAGATTAGATAATTTCACTGTTCTGTATATTAACCCTGTACCCTCCTTGAGCAAAGCTCTAACGGCGTGGCCGGTAGTAGAAAATGTATTTAAAACACTCAAACTAGACTATATTCTAGAAAGGAAATGTGTGTCCTGAATTTCACTACAACAAAGACGACATTTTTGTAGTCTGAAAATAAAATACGAACAAATTAATTAGGGCGAATCAGAATAGTTCGGTAAGGACGTAGATATGAAACTAGCCCTTTTCAACCCATTTGTGCTCTAGGCTCCCATTTCCATGTGTAAATCATTCCCGTTCCAACACCCTGTATTATGTTTCTACAATACAGCCTTTGGGCAAGCAACTGACGCTTTACCTGCTACACGCAGGCTTAGGTTTTCGGTCCCAAAAACCTATGGTCGCCGGGTGCCTGTCAGGTGCTTGCGGGCGAGGGCTGTGTACGTGACAGGGTCGCATCAGAAAACGCCTGGCTTATCTTCTGGTTCTGGTATAAAGCTGGCCTGAGTTTTGTTCCACCAATCGTTTTGGAATCGGACGAGTGGTATACTGTGTGTGACGCAAGGTAGGAGGTTTTACATTACAGTTTTTGTGGGGGAGGTGAAACTACAAAAAGTTAATTTTTCGCTAATTTTTCATTTGTTTGCTTGTTTATTAATTAATTTATTTATTTATTTTACGAATCGGTATATTACCATATGAGTAAAATTAGGTTTCCAGGCAATCCCGTTGGATTCGTTATGATTTAAGACATTCATAATAAATCTTAAGTGTCCACGAGCTGATTTGAGTATGAGGAAGTAGCTAATCTCAGGGCGACTTTTGTCTGCCATTTAAGCACTTAAGCACTTAAACTCCATACGTCTACGTGGATCGTCCAACTCTGCGGGACTCCCGCCGAATGCAATCAGCTTAATTGAATGGCACACCTCCCTTGGTTTTACAACATACTCGTATAATCATCAGCTTTTCTGTATTCTACTTAACGCCAGAAAGAGGCGTGTCAGTCTGTTAAGCTGATTGCACTTAACGGGAATCCCCACAGAGTTAGGTTGATCTGGATGTGTCTGTCTGTTCAAATGTGTCTATGCTAATGGAGCCTTAAATAACGTTATGCTCTATGATAATTCAAGTTTAACCGGCAAGGAGAACGCATTTTCCTCAATTCACAAATATGTAACCAAAGAAAAGGCTATAATGTTAATGTTCATTACCAGAGATGTGTTTATTTGATGTTTACGATTAAATATTGCCAAAGCCCCAACTTTGAAGGAGGTGAGAGTGGGCAAAAATTCGTTCCCCAAACTTAACTGACGAAATAAAACAAAGTATGTACAAAAGTCAGGCTTGCACTGGTACGGTCAAAACAGTTTCGAATACAACACTAATTCAGTGTCATTCGCTACAATGTAAATTGTGTGTCTTACATTTTTCTCGTATTTTAGCCATAACAAAATGAAGACGGCAGTAGCCCTGTTGGTACTGGTTCTGGTCTCCTCCAGTCTGGCAGCCACCGACTGGGACAGAGCACTTCAGAGATACGTAGGGATGTTGGCTATGGAGATTAACCACGCTGTGAGTATATAAGGGGCCGTTCAGAATGAGTTATGTCGCACTAGCTAGTGCGCAATAACTCCACAGGGACTCTCGCTGAGTGAAATCAGATAGACTCCTCTTGGCGTTGAGTAGAAATCTGGTGAATACACGAGTGTGATGGAAACAAGAGGAGGCGTGTTGGTTTGACTGCATACAGGCAGAGAGATAGCGTTTTGCTTTTTCTTTTTTATTGTGATTGTCTTTTTATGAATTTTTAAAATAGTAATTAGATATCGTCTCGGACAACGAGGACCACTGATTTATGCAACCAAAAACAAAATGTAGGAATAAAATAATGATTTCAGGGGCGGATTTAGGCCGTCTTCTGGGTCTTCTGGAAGACGGTCAGATTTTCAAGTTTACATTGTCAGCCATCTAATGTTTTCTGTCGGAAGACGGTCAAAAATGGAAGATGGATCAACAAAGATAATTTGGAAGACTGTCAGAAAATATCTCTGGATCCGCCCCTGATTTCTCTTAAGGACAATTAATTTATCCACTGACGCACAAGTTCCTTAAATAGTTGCTAACACGAGTTCAATGACTGGATGGTTAAAACAAAAATTACATGAACAGGTCTTTTCTTATATTCTGAATGACGTTGGTCTCTTAAGTACAATGAAGGCATGTTAAATTATGGTAATTGTCCGGTCATTAATTTCGAAGTAAAAAATAATAATGAGATATCATTTCGGTTAACAAGGACCACAGATTTGGGCATTCAAAAATAAAATCATTTAGAACTTAAGAATGAAATAATGATTTCGCTTCATCATCGTTATCTTAACCACTGACGTCTTACTCTAGCCCCACTCAGGGGCGGATTGAAGCCATCTTCTGGGTCTTCCGGAAGACGGTCAGATTTTCAGGTTTACACTGACGGGAATCTAATTTTTTTCTGTCGGAAGACGGTCAAAAATGGAAGGTGGATCAACAAAATAATTTATAAGACTGTCAGAAAATATCTCTGGATCAGCCCCTGGACCACTAGTTTCAAAAGTTCGATGAACAAATTTTTTTAATATCCTGAATGACGTTGGCCTCTTACATACGATGAGGGCATGTAAAACTATGGTAATTGTCCTTTTATTCATGATAAACAAAAATATAAGGATATGTGTGAAACTTAAGCCATTTCCTGTTATAAAGCATTTGTTTAGAACCATTGCCAATTTATCATTTGTCAAAATAGACATAAATAGTGGTCTTCAAGTTTTAGGCCAGTTTTCGGGCTCCTTTGTGCAAAAGGCTGGACAGGAAAGATGGCGCTCTTGTTTACCTGTTTCAAAACAAAACCATTTGCATCTGAAACCGTTCATTTTTACCATTGTAATAAACTTGGTTCAGGCAGCATATTAAAGTAAAATTAAATCTAACATTTAACCTCTGAACTTCGTTTAATATCGCCGCTTGTGAAGTTCCGCGCAGCATGTTATAAAACAAGACGTTAGGCTGAGAAAAAATTTGGAGGGTGGGGGGACAAGCTGTTGAAAACCCACAGTGCACATGCAGGCGGTTTAATTGCAGTGCTTGCGGTACTCATCTAGAACCTTATCGATGGAAAAGCTTAATATTTTTTATTGGAGAGAGGAGAAGACCAACAATTTCAGAATTCCAACATGTACATATTATTAATTATTTTTCTAAAACCTATGGGGGCCTCCCTTTGTTTCATGCTTCATTTCTACCACAGTTTCAACGTAATCGTTGATGGCTGGTGATTTCCTTTCCAGGATAACAACGTGGGGAGCACATGGAAGAACTGTGGCAAGGCCAATGATCCCATTCAGCTGAAAAAATTCAGCATCAGTCCGGATCCCATCGCCGTGCCGGGCAATATCACTTTAGGAGCTGCGGGTGAGAATCGACAGCTAAGATATATGTTCGTTTTGTGTACGCGTGAGCGTGCGTGAGTGTTTGAGCGTGTAGAGATTTTTCACCCTTAATCTTACCTGGTATTTTGAAAAATAGATTTTCATTCACGACAGTCATTAGGATATTAAATATGATAGTAAACTGTCCGAAATCTACTGTATTTTTTTTTCATTTGTTATTGTAGGACATGTGGCCTCTGCTCTCACATCCCCATTGAAGGCAACCGTGGACTTCCAGGCTTTAAGAAATGGCCACTGGATTAAACTGCCCTGCATTCACAAAGTGGGCAGCTGTGTGTATGACGACGTATGCAAGATTCTGCCCCCTGGACCCTGTCCAGCGGGGGTCAAGGTCTGCCACTGCCCGTTCCCAGCGGTAAGTGACGCCCTCTCACTCTACACTCCCGCTTCCATTCTCTGTCTGTCACTCTCCAACACAAACACAGACACTCACACAGACACTCACACACACACACACACACACACACACAAACGCACGCACGCACAGAGAGGGAGAGAGAGATTTGTCTATTGAATGAGTAACTAACCCTATCATTTTTTCCTTTTCGTCTTCTTTTATCACTTACCTTCGGTGATATCAGCTCAACTTTACACTGGGGCGGGTGTGATAAAACATTAAACCCGAATCTCATTCACATATTGTACATTCCATTGATCTCAGATATGTATTTGTTTTCTCGTTGCTAGGGCCTCGTTGCCTTGCAGAACATCAAGATTCCCCTGGCCCCTGTGGGTCTTAAAATGAAGCAGACCCAAGTGAGAATGAAAGCAGTCCTCAGTCACAATGGCGTCGAAATGGGCTGCTACGAGCTAGACACGGATCTTGTGGTCAACTCGTAATCTCTTGTCTCATGACTCCGCTCTCACACCTCTACAATTTCCCCCGTTCAACTGTAATTCTGAGACGTTTAAGGTGTGTGTGAACTCAGCCTATTTGCTTTGAATTTGAATTAAAGGAAATTAATTAACACTGTTCGGCAAACTAAAAACCCAAAGCCAATCAGGGCTCAAGTGACTCTTACCTTGTATATCACATGGCAGTGTCCATCAACTGAGTTTGAATAAAAGCATTTGAATCATTTTGATATTTGCGTTTTAGCACATTTGCTTCATTGTTTGATTTATTACTGAACAGAATATTTCTCTGACATCAGTCTCTCTTTATGTGTTCAAAAAATTATATAAGTCATGGCCTTAAAAACCAAGATTGGAACTTGAAACCGAGGAAGTGGAAATCCCCGATATAAGAAGCAAGAAGTATGCCTGAAATAATTGCATTTGGCACTTTTTAATCTAAGACAAGTGGAAAGTATGGCGTTTTCCTAAAAAGAAAGTTTTGCTTCTGTCTCAGTTTTAGGATTCGATGTCAAGGCCTACAGATTATTTAGGGAAAATGCTCAATATTTAGTCTATTATTATTAATAATAATAATAATACCGTTTATTGTTTGGTCGAAGTGGAAGGACATTTTGTTCTAAAAGTTTAGGTCAGTTTTCGGGCTGTAGCTATTTTGCGAAACAGGCTCTTGGTTGAAAATATTTTCATCCCTACCATCCAAATTCAGATTCAGATTAGATAAGATTCAGGAGAAGCTATATGTATGAACACTTATGACAGGCAGCCTGCTTATGCCATGGGAAATCATTTCCATTAATCAAAGACCAATTTAGAACTGGAACAGAAAGTGGACGTGTGGATGGCCCTTTTACGCCAATCCGTCCGAGCGTTCACTGGGTGGGAGGAAGAGTGAACAGATTAATCGGAACTATTAAACTTATGGAGCTATAGTCGAGGGCTTTTTACCTCCCGCTGCGTGCGTTTTCAGAAGCACGCCCAGAACAAACCCTCCAGTGATTTCATTCCTTGCTAAATTAAACCGCCACAAAAACGCCATGTTTTCTAACGCACGCGTGTGGAAGGCAGGATCAATCAGTGGAATGGTAGATTTGGCTTTCTTTGTGTATGACCATAGTCGTATCGTTGTATTGATGCGTAAGGAGCAAAAAAAGTGTTATGCTGTGTATTTATCTTTCCGTTGCTATGTGAGACTTTGAAAGGGTCAGAAAGGGTCAGAAAATTGCATCATTAACTGTCCATCCCATCAATGATCCCACTTTATTTAAAACCAACGTTCATTAACAGAAAATGATGCAGTTTCTCAGTTTCGATAAACTAACCAAGGTATAATTATAAGGATAAGATTGACGTAGGAGTGAATGACGTGTGTGATACTGGTACCTGTGAAATTTTTTTTTAATGAATTGTGAATTGCGCCAATTGATAAAAAAAGCAAATAATGGGATTTCATTTCATAAGGAAAACTGTGTAACATGACCCACCGTTTCACATATAAATGAGAGTCGTTAGCAAGTTCAAACAGAAGCAGCAAATGCGCACCCACCGGGACAACGGCAGAAGAATACCACATAAAATGTAAGTCTCTATTCCTTTCATACCTTGATTAGGGTCCCTAATTTCATTCATTGCGATTTGTCGGAAAGGTCTTTGATGCTGAAATGAAAATGCGAATCAGAGTGTTGTATTTGTAAAACGATTGTTTTGCATTTAAGCACGTCACGCTGAGATATATATTCAGTTTGTGGACACTTCCTAGTTTCCTCTAGAAATTGCACGGGGTACTATATTTACCATTCGGTTGTTGCAAACGCAAATGATAAGAACCTACTGTTCATGTTGCCTTAGTTATTCTAATGGTATTTGGACCTCAGAATTCCTATTTCTTAATATTGCCAATTAGTTCCACACCACACAAGCAAAGTCGACATGGTTAGAGATGCCGTTTTGGGGTTCGTATACAAAAAAAAAAAAAAAAAAAAAATTCCAAACGAACTTACTTTCTTCTTTTAAGAGGTGCTATATTTATACGAACGCAGTTATTCAACAGGTAGAGATGGAAGACAGAGTCAAATTCCCATTTCTGTGCTCTGAAACCATTCTGTATAGTAAACAGGTTAACGATTTATAATTAAATAAACTTTATCTCAGGCTGCCAAGCTGAAATGTTGTAGGTATGTGTAGGTTACAGTAGGGGCAAATGAGTCACTGAACAAGCCTTTGACCCACCATGTTTGGAAATTTCTTCTTTTTGTCAAATACCTGACCATGGCCTGTGCACAGGCGCAAGTAGGTGCTGCCTAACTTCCTCGTGTGAACGTACCACGCCAAGGCTTAATACGTGATGCGACGTCGTTAAGTCCTTCAAGTATGAGATTAGATTTGTTACAATAAAGATTGCCAAGTACAACTGCTTTACTTTGGTTATTAGTGACACTGCGCCCCGTGCAACAGAAACTGCCTTAAGTAACCGTACTAAGAACATTGCCAACATTTGAAGTCTCAAACTGCAAATCTGCTTAACGCGTTAATGATTGAAGAAAGTCAGAAAACAAAGAGAACATACAGAATTGTGTCGAATGGAAAAAAAACCTATATTGTGTTGATGTCACCATCAGATCCTTCGGATTTTTAAGGCGGCTTTGTGTTAGGAGGGGCCTTTAAGACTATTCTGCCGCTGTTCTATACGTGCAGGCAAATCTTGGAAGCAAAGGGACACGGTTACAGTGAAAGAACACGACCTTTTCACTTTAAAAACGTTAAAAGCTTTGCCCTGCTAGGGTAACTTAGTGACAGGTGAGCTGAATAACACATTTCAGGGTTTGTCATAGACTGTCAAGATTCGCCCTCCTAAACGTCTCTCAAGACTTGGAATATGAGACTGAGATTTTGAAGTTGGAAATTCAGGGTGTTAACAGATGTTTTAATAGCACCAAGAGACATGTCGTGAATACGCACGGCAAAGCAATGCCAAGATGTTATTCGTTTGATAGGTACGCTTCAACTTTAATTTGGGTACGACATTTTATGGATGCATGAAAGCTTGCTAAAGATGTGAGCGGCTTTCGCCATCTATGGAATCTTCTTTGAATATATACATGAAATGAGCGAGTGATCATTGTGTATTTTACCTCGAAATTACCGTTTAGTCTTCTGCCGAGAAAATCGATCGCAGTTTTGGTGATTTAAACAATGGTCATATTACCAGTACGTTACATACCATTTAGGGTGAACCTTGTCGTAAATAATACGAGAACAACGATAATTAACTTCACAATTCCTTCATCAGAGAGACGAAAATGACGGCCATTTAAAGATTTGATAACACATTATTGTATCGGAAAATGGCCAATTGGCTATTTATTGCTCTTTTAATTACATCTCATTAAGGTTGATGCTAATCTTATTATGATGAGGTTAAGACGTAAAAGAGATACTGAGGAGGCGTCTTTATATTATTTCTCTTGCAGAAATAAGAACATATGTTGAAGAAGTGTTTGTGGTTCTCAGCTGCATACGAATTTCGTTGTTGTTGTTGTTTTCTTTTTCATGCGTGATAATCTAAACTGTGCCTTTCTAATAGACCTCTTGACTTAGCATTTCTTTTAATATACAAAATACTCAACGCTTAACATAAACGCAGTTATAATAAAACACATTGAACGCCGAGAAATAAACAATCAGACTTAGATGGAAGAAATGAAAAAGGAAGAAAAAACAATACCTTTCCATTACCATAACAGTAAGTGATGGTGATACATTAACAAACTTATTCCCATGAAGCACAAATCGATTTCAATATCTTAAAAGTAGTCACTTGACTTAAGGAGGTAGGTCGTCCACTGCCACACATATATATATATATACCTAATATAGTCACTTCACAGGCAAATGGAAACGCCGTTATGTAAGATTTAGACTGGGTTCCCATCCCTAGATCGATCTAACAGGATCGGTCCATCTCCACAGGGTCCCTCGTTAATTGCTTTCAGCCCAAGCGGCTTAGACGTCTGGGACGCCCACTAAAGCTGCTAAACGATAGTTTATTACCCTCTATCAGCCTCAGCAGGCGTGACAGACATCTAAGCCGCTCAAGTTAATTGCAATTAAGCGAGAATCCCCTCGGAGATAGTTCGATCCAAAGTTAGTACGATAGGGTCTGGGAATGGTCGCTTACATTACAGTTGATGAGAATGACCTTAGAACTTTTGCCATCACCGTGGTGCGTGTAACAAACGCAAGGAGAGATAACAGCACTCAAAGATTTCATTTTCATTTCTTGGACGGTTTTCGTACTTTTCTACATGTACATGCACAAGATAGTTGTATTAGCACTTAAAGCTATCTGCAACAGACGGTAATTCGTCCTGTTAATCACATTGGCAGATCAGATATATTAGGTAAAAGGAACGGACTTATCTACTCAAGGTAAGGGAATAGTTTGCCTTTCGTTTTAACCGTTATTGTTGAGAATCAGTTGCTCTTGTAATATCAATGTCTCGCTAGATTAAAAAAAAAACATTGCTAAATTGATTTTTCGTTTTGTTTTAAAAACAAATACAACATAAATTTGTTCAAAGATTTTCCATATGGCATTCATAGTATGAAATGTAGGACCATGCCGATGGAAAACGAAATGGTCTAATGGATAGAAGCCGCTGCATCCAAGAAGAAGACCAAGTCGCAGAGACTACAAAATGCTCGATAGTGGCTTTTTTTATCTCAATTTCTCCACGCTATAGTATCCGTTCCCTTTGTTTATCTAACGACCATCGTTCCTATCGGAAAGAAACTGTTGAGTCAAAACTTGAAGTGCCAAAGACAATGTTTCCAGCTGCAAGTATTGTATGAGGTTTGATTGAAGTTTAATATTTTTGAGAAAATAAAATTTAAACTCGCTGCCGGCTTCATCCACCCGATGAATGTAATTTTAAATATAAGGAAGGAAGGATATATATATATATATATATATATATATATATATATATATATATATATATTAAAATTGCGCAGGAAATCCTTTAAAGCATACTTCAAATAGTTTACCGTGTTTTACGACTCAACAGGTACTCGGCTATAAAGACGAACTGCCACGTCTCCTAGCAGATGGCGATGACGTATTTGTCAGAAAGATATTTATAAATTAGACAAACATGAGAGACCTTTTCCAGTTGATTACATTGAACACCATATTTCCATCGACATCGTGACTCGACATTTTGTCCAAATC